CAGGAGAACCTTGTAAAATATACCTAGTCAACAGGATCATCGAATTAAATCCACAAAAAATAACGAAAACGGGTACCAGAATTGAAGGCAGAGAAGCAGTCAGATTTCAGACAGTCAAATAATGATGTGTAGTAATAAAAAAATGAAACGCAAAGTGGAGGGGAGCTAAATCAAAGTCAGATGCTATTACCCAGGATCCATGCGAACAGAATTTGAAACCGATGGTAATGCCAATTACGCTTTACTAAATCCACTTAAAGCGACACACTCTTAGGCGACAATGAAGGAAATGAGAACACAGAATGGTGTGAATGGATAATAGCCCATATGAAGTGGGACTTAGAGAAGGAGATGCAGCACCAGAAGCTAGAACAAAAAATAGGTGCAAGAAGTGATGCACGAAAAAGTGGGCGAGAGGATTGCCTTGAATTGTCACGTTGATAAGTTCTAACTCTGTGCTAAAGATAGCGCCTCTCCTTGACGATGCCGACGAAACGTCTCTACGAACCCATCGGTCTCATGCTGGAAATCATCATGAAAACTATGGCAGAGGGCGCAGGACTAGGTACGCTCCACAAGGCCTCGCTGCCGCTTTGATCAAATTGCGAAAACGAGGTCAAACAAACATTAGAATGGTGATGCTGATTAAAGCAGCTTTAGGACATCCTGTAGAAGCATGAGTGAAAATTCTGGATAATCGTGAAGGAAATGCTTGAAGTTGGCGACAATTTTGAACCTCTCTAACTTGGAAAGAGGACTTGAGTAAGTAGATCAATTAAGTTGATGAAAGATAAAGCATTTAACAGAAAGTACGAGTACGCTTAAGGAATTGTAAAGATAGATGCTGAAAGAGGAAATAATAAAAAGCGTGGTTACGGTACGAATAGGACGCTCAGCAATCGGCAGATTAAGGCATGGGTATAATTAAGTGAAGGAAATGAGAAAAAAAACAAATAAACATTATTAGTATCCCACCTGTAAGCGAACGGATGCAGGAGGCAAGGAATCCGGGTGATAAAATACGATCACGCAGCCATTTTTCGAGTTGACGCGTTAAAAATGCATCTATATGAGGTTGGATACGGTTGCGGAACCGATGCGCTAGTGAAAGTATAAATTCGCGTAGCCATTGAGCCAGGCCAAATATAAGGTAGCGAAATAGTGAGAAGATTATATCGTGTATTTGATCGTTTGCTATAATTACAAAAGATATAGAAGTTAGTTTCCTTATATAAAAGCACATTTAGAACACAAGAGCATCTCGTAGAAAATAAGAATGAAAGGTAGCAGTATAAAAGGTAAATGACGTAATACAAATAGTAGCAGTAGTAACATAGTATTAGGGCAAAATAACTAAAGTGCTAGGTAAAAAAATTCCATTTCAGCATTTGTGTAAAACGTCATCAGTTGTGATGTAAAATGAGTTATTTTCGAGGTTCATAGTTTGCTTATATAGTAGTCCATAAAGGCAAGATAAACAAGCTCTATGGTGATCAAAATTGCTAAAGGATGATCATTTGAGATATATGATGTAGCTATGCTATCCTATTAACTTTAAAGAGAGTTATCTAAGTCCCACCTAATAATGAACCATATCTAAGGTAAAAAGCAAAGTTAACTTAGCCGTTTCTTGCCATTCATGATAAGACATAGATGTGTAGTCAAGTTAAGCCAGTTTAAAATGCGAATATACCATACCATAATTTTAAGTGAAATAACCTTATTCACAAAGTGCAATGATCTCTGAGAATATTTTTGAATACGTGGAAGTGAACGTATGTGTAAATAAATTATAAGGAACAAGCGAAGGTTAGCTTGAACAGTTATAATCAGAGGAGAGTGCTGTCTTCAGAGAAAAGCAAACAAGTCTCTTATCCAAGGAAAGCCAAAATTGATCTTAAGCTAGAAAATTTCAGCCATTGGGAATCAAAATGAAACTTCTCTAATGAACCATTTGTGAGCCCCGGCCAGAGGTAAGTTCTGTCGAGGAAGCCAGACATTTAACAGAAGTTCACTTAAACCTGAGTCATTCTATACAACAGACATTAATTTATTTCCCTATACAAAAGTGATGAAATATGGGCTGGCGAGAATAAGTACATATCAGGGTTTTAACAGTGGGACATCCTTAAATATATCGATAACGAATGCATTTTATGACTCTCAATAACAAATAGAGGTTAAAGTAATAGATGTATTAAATTCAAACTCACATGATTTGTCATTCATTGTTAGAGCCTGTTGGCTTGAAGTATCGTTGATTGTTAAGCTACACAAGAGGCCATCTGGCGAAATCTGATCTGAATTGGTGGCAGAGTCGCATGCCGTGTAGGTAGACGAGTTCAAAGCAAGCTCATTTGACAAGCTGAGAGACTCAGTCGTGTCTACTGAATCAAGACCTGGAACGGAGTTTTTCAACACTGATTGAGACGACAACTCCAGTGGAAGGACATGGCCAGAAGACTCGTAGCCAGGATCATGTAGCAAATGCAAGGGCCCATCACTTGTTGATGATGCCGTAAGGCGCTCAAATATTAACAAAATGGCATCATAACAGCCCGTTACGTGCATGACGGAAATGTTGCAGGCCTGAATGTGTTGATTTTTTTGTTTTTTCTATTTTAATTTATATAATATTTTTTATTGCTGTTAATTTGTTTTTGCTAATGAAATTGTGATGCTTGTTAGAGTCAGTGCATTTTTTAAAATGCATATAAATACTTATGAGTTTTGCAAATAAACTTATTATTTTTTTCGTTTGAGGGACGAGTAGAGAAAAAAAGAGAAATGGTTGGGAGCAGAAGATAGCAATTGAACAGATAGTGACGAATTGGAAATGGTTGGTATCTATTGATGTGCGTATAGATAATAAACAAACTACCGTAAACGTAAAGTTCTGGAATTTTAATTTTAAGAGATCATTGTTGAAATAACTGACGGAATAAAGTTAATTAGTATATGAATGCTAAGTAAATGAGAATGTGAAATTTGATACTGTTACATACCT